CAGGGGCGTATCGGGGCTCTCCTCTTGGGCTGTCTCTGGGTTCTCCTGCGCCGTGTGGAACTTCTTCTGGAGCCCTCCTCTTGGGACGTCCTTGGGTTAGCACTGTGGTCTCTGGAGCCTTCTACGGGGCGTCTTGGGCGCCGTCTTGGGGCGGCGATCCTCGGGGTGTCCTGGGCTATCTTGGATCGGCGGCCAGCGAGGGGGGGGGAGAAGGAGAAGGCATTCGCGGGGGACTTCTCGGAAGCCCTCGCGCCTTCTGAGAAGTGTTTTGCGTCTTGGGGGAAGCCTTAGAAAACTTCCCAGAAGGTCCGGGAACTTCTGAGCCTTCTGAGAAGGCCCACCCCTTTTCACTTCCCACCCTCGCTCCCTCTTCGGGCCATCTAGTAACGAAGGCGAATCAGTGGTGCTACCCTCCTGGGGGGATCTTGGGGGTCCTCGTCGGGCCATCTGGCTTCTCTTCGGCGAAGCGTACTTCGACGTCCTGCGGCCCTTGTGGGCCGTCAGGGGCCCTCCTCCGAGCCCACCTGCTCCGACCCCGTCTAGAATCTATAGGAGGCCCAGCTCGAGGCCGAAAGCTGGCCCAGATCGAGGCCGAAAGCTGCGAGAAAGGCCTCCGCCTTGCTTGTCTCGATGCGTTGGATCTCTGGGCCTGGCCCTTAATGGGCCCTGGAAACGACAGGGCCGTTTTTTTGTTACCGGTTCCGTTTTGCCGTTCTTTTTTGCCGGTTCCGACGCCGCTTTTTTACCGGTTCCATCGCCGTTTTGTGACCGGTTCCGGCTCCGGTTCCAATCCTGGAGCCGTTTCTTGCCGTTTCCGGTCGCCGTTTTTTTTGCCGTTTCCATTTTCAAGGGACATTTTTGGGGGAAGCGGTGAAAACACGGCCCTGCCGTTTCCGGGGCCACAAGAAGGTCTGGCCCCCTCTGCTCTGGCAGGCCTGGGAGCGGGGAGGCCTGGGGGCGAGCAGCGCGACGCCCAGGGCGGACAGGCCCGGGGCGGGGGGCCCCGCGCACGGGCGGCGGGCGCCGGGGTCGCCGCCCAGGCCCCTCGAGAGCTGCTCGAGGCGGAGAGGGCTGCGGAGAGGTCGGGCACGGCCGCCTACAGGCGGATCTCGGGAGGAAACTTAGAGATCGTCTGATAATATCAGTATCTACATGTTCAGACTTGTTGTTAACAACTTTAGAATAGATAGGTCTAAAATAGCCCCCTTGATTACACAAAACGGACTTAATTTGGTGAAAATTTAAATACGTTTTGAAAAAAACAAGACATACAAAAAAAGCACGAGGAATCGTCTATGTCTGAAAACCCCTCCTGTAGAGGCACAACACCGACTTAATGCCGGCGCTCGCTCCTCGCCGTGGCCGTCGCCGCCGACGCCGGCGTCCTGTCCTGGTCCATGCCCGGGCGCCCTCCTCGTCCTCCCCCGAGAGGGGAGGCTCCTTCCTCGCCCGCGTCCTCCCCCGAGGGGGGGGGGGGGGGGGGGGCGAGGGGGGGGAGACTCTCTGGTCTCTGAGATCCTGCCTTCCCCCACCGCCGTGGCTCGCCTCTTGCTCTGCTGCATTCTCCCCCTCGCCTCGGTCTGCGGCTGCTCCTGCTGCTCATGCCCCATGGTGCCTCCGACGACTGTGGCTATGACGGCAACGTCGACAACTACGCCGACGACGACGATTACTCCCCCTCCTCCTCCCCCTCCTCCTCCTCCTCCTCCTCCTCCTCCTCCTCCTCCTCCTCCTCCTCCCACTACTGCTACTACTACTACTACGACTACTACTACTACTACCACTACTACTACTACTACTACTACTACTACTACTACTACTACTACTACTACTACTACTTGTGCTAGTACTACTGCTGCTACTACTACTACTACTACTACTACTACTACTACTACTACTACTGCTACTGCTACACCTACAACTAATACTAATAAAATGTGTACCCTACTACTCCTCAGTGCTCCCGGTCCACATTGCCCAAAGCCCCTCAAATAGGAGCTGCCCCCCGCAAGCCTGGCACCCTTCTCCTTATCCAGTGTTCTGCTTCTCCTCCTATTCCTCCTCCTCCTCCACCTGCTCCTCACTCCATCTTGCTCCCCCTCGCACCACATCGTCTGTCATCCACCTCTCCCTTCCTCCGTTTCCTCCGTGCTCTCCTTCTCCCGACGCACCCATCAGGACCCTCCGACAACACGCAGGCAACTCCGGACATACTGCCGCGACCGCCCGAGACACCCACCGAGAACATTTGAACGCAATTTGGGAACCTTGCCGAGACCGCCCGAAACCTCCGTGACCACCTGAGATTTGAAATTTCGATCGGGGATCACGGTCGTGACTGCCTGGAGCCTCCGCGACCCTCCCCCCCCCAGGAGAGCATCTGAGAACGACTACAGCAAACCTGTATGATAAGGATGCGCGATTAGGTTGCAAGGGCCTTGGACGCCCATTCCGAAGCTTCTCGAGCGGGGCGCGGCCAACGAAAGTGGCAAGGGATGGACCGAGGAGGCAAGGATGCAAGGGTACCCTTGGGAAGGTTACCCATCCTTACCTTACTTTGCGGGCTGACTGTGCACAATACCAGGGGCCATCGAGGGATGCGTCGTGAGCTGAACTATAGGAGTCCAAAGAACCCTCCGAGAGCTCTCCTCTCAACGACAGCTCGCGGGCCCTGTCCTGTCCCCTATCGTCGTCCCCTGTCCCCTTTCACCCCGTCCTGCCCCCTATCGTCGTCCCCACGGGCCAGGGTCGAAGAGGCAGGTCGTACAAGCACGGCACGCCTCGCAACGGTGTGGAGCAAAATCGAGGAGGGAGCCGGGCTCAAGCATCCCAGCATCCAGCTCGCACCGTGGTCCTCCCTCTTCTCCCCTCCCCCTCGTCCCCGGGAGCGTGAGCTCGAGACGTGCAGCAAGGCTGGCTCCGCCAGCGTGCCCGCTGGCACGTGGAGGCGTGGTAAAATTCCACGTTGTGTCTGGCAGGAGCGTTTCTTCGAGTCTTCGAGCATGTGCTTTGTCCCCGCCCGTAACGTCAGGTTCGGGGTGGGGGTCGGACCCTTGTGGGAAGGTGGCTGTGAAGTGCTCGGGCGGTCGGGTCCCGCGGAGAGGACCCCAGGCGCCGGACGACGACGACGACGACGACGATGACGACGACGACAACGATCACGACGACCACCACGACGTCGACGACGAGGACGAGGACGAGGAAGGCGACCACGACCACGACCACGACGGCCGCTTCTGACGGTCTTCAGAGGTCTGAGGAGACCTCAGGAGATCTCCAGAGGCCTGTGGTGGCATCTGGAGACCCTTCGAGGCCCTCGGAGACGACGACCACGACGACCACGACGACCACGACGACCACAACGACGACGACCATCACGACCACGACCACGACCACGACACCTCTGAAAGTCCCTCGAGTTCTCCAGAAAACTCAAACAGATCTCTGGAGGCCTCTGACGGCGTCTGGAGGTCCTTCGAGGCCCTCGGAGACGACGACGACGACGACGAGGACGACAACAAGGACGAGGATGAGGACTAGGACGACCACGACGAGGACGACGACGACGACGACGACCACGACGATCACGACGACGACGACGATGACGACGACGTCGACGACGGCGACGGTGACGACGACGACGACGGCCGCCTCTGGAGGCGCCTGGAAGTCCTCCGACGCCTGTCAACACCACACCATGCCTGTGAGCACGGCGCCATGCCTGTGAGCACCGCCTCCGCCCGGCCCCGGACGTCCCCGTACATTCGTTGCCGTTACCAGGGGGGGGGGGGGGCGACCCCCCCACAACGGATGTTACGGGTTTTACGAATAAGAAGACAATCTCTTCCCAGGGCCCCTCGTCCTGTCCCTCGTCGGCTGCCGGGCCGATGCCTGCTCTCGCCGCATGGCTCTGGGTCGCAGCGACTGGGAGCCGGGCGCCAGAGTAGCCACAGCGCGCGCACCCCTGACCCTCCACCTCCACCTCCACCTTCCAGACCTTCCGACTTCCGCGGAAGGCGGGGAAGAAGCCGTCGAAACTCACGGAGGCCTCACACAACCCAAGGAAACCCATACATATATATATATATATATATATATATATCTATATATATAGATCATATCGAAAAAGGGGCGGAAGGTTAGGGCGGAAGGTCCAGAAGAATGAGGGTGAGGGAACGCTGCTGAGTTACGAAAAGAAGCCTCGGCCCCCCTCCCAGTCGCACAGTGGTGCGTGCGTTGCCTTCCTCCCCCGAGACTCCCGGGGCGGCCCAGCGCATGCCTCGGGCTGCCCAAGGGTCTCAATGATAAGCAATATAAGAATACCACTGATCCTCTGGGAGGGGGCCCAAGGCATGAGATCATGTGGTCCTTTTGTCTGCAGATGTCTCAGACGAGGCCACCCACATGTTTAGGGATTGCTAACAAAATCCGAGCGCCTCGGTTAGGCCACGAAATCATTGCGTTACTCGGATGAAGGGGTAATTCTATCCTTAATCATTCCAGGGCTTGCAAGACGGCAGGGGAAGGCCGCCGCGGCCGAGCCCGATGATGGCAAACATCATTCAACGGCTTTAAGACATTATTCGTGCGTTTGTTTCTTGCTTCGTGGGCCTTCCCGGATGAAGCATTGGATAGACGAGATATAAGGCAAGCGGGAAGAGAACAATGCTCTCACCGAACCCTCGTCCTCAATCTTTCCTCATAATAACTCCTCCTTGATTGAGTTCAGGCCTAAGGCGCGGCAGCGCGATCAGCAGTCGATAGCGGCCCTCGCTGTTGCCAGGATTATGTACTGAAACGTGGGAGTGGTGGGAGCGCTCCCTTCAGCATCATGCTCTGCCTTTCCTTTGCGACAGAGGTGAGACGCCAGGACGTTGAGCTGATGCAGGCGGGCGGGAAGACGAGGAGGAGGAGTACTGGAGAAGCAGGGGGCGGAGAAAGACGTCCTTCCACTCCCCCCTCGCCGCTGGTGTCGGCAGGCCTCCCCCCCCCCCGCCCCTGCCGTGGCCGCCCGTCGAACGCGACGTGCCCGCCGTCATCCGCTTCCTGGCGCGCGCCGGGCGGGGGCCGGCGGAGGCGGACGCTGGCCCCCCGGGGCTTCCGACGAAGTGTGTGCACGTCCTCGAGTAGGGGATACCCCAACACTGTATTGGTTTTCTCGCCGAATGCATGGATTACCCTCCCCCTCATTCTTCCCGACCTGCCGCCCGAAGGTCCCGCCCCTTTCTTTGTTTGATCTGATCTATGTGGGCTTCCCCGGATTGCGTGAGGTCTCCACGAATTTCGATGAACTCTTCCGCAACCTCCGCGGAGGTCGGAAGGTATGGAAGGTGGAGGTGGAGGGATCGACTGCAGAATTGATTCATCCCAAACTTGGTTTGCTCGCCAACTCCATCAATTGTGCGTAGAATGCCCACAGATCTACGACCCTTCTACGCATAGTTCATGGCTTCCGAGACAAGGTGCCAAACCCGGGAGGAGCACTTTCATTGAAAACCAAAAGTCGCACTGGAGGGGGGATCAACCACACTTGCTCTTGAGAAATGAGACTCCAAACCAAAATACGCTCGCGCGCTATTGAACGTGTACATCTCCGAGACCCGCCCTCTTCATCTTCGATGATGGTGCCCCTATTGGCGGTATATCTTTATGACCTGCCACGCGTCGTTGGCGCAGCCCCCCAAAACAGGGGAAGGGAGGGAGGAGGGAAGACAGGGGGAGGGAGAAGGATGGAGGACAAGAGATATCATCGGGAGGGGGGCTAGGAGTAGAGACAACGAACGGCAGAACTAGACGGGCGGGTCGGGCGGGTTGGCCCCTCACGGGCGGGTCGGGCGGGCGGGCCCAGACGGCTGGGTCGAGCGGGCGGGTCGCTGAAGCGCGAGTCTTGCATGAATCGCGAGGTTGGTACTCTCAGGATTTTTGCATGGTAAATACGTTGTTTATCTCCTAGCGATTCAACATGATTAGATCAGAACCAGACAGAAATCCCAAGGATTCCGAGAGATGCTCGAAAGCCTCAGGACTCATGCGGATCTCCGATGGACGTATCACGGTTTCCTCAGGAATCATAAGGGTGTAGTTAATATGTCGTTAATCTGTCCACCAGAGTGATGCGCATTTCCAAAAGAGAAATACTGCTTACAGCTTATCTGCAGGCCCCAACTACTTGCAAACACGGAACCCGGTGGGATCCACAAGGCGTGCTCAAAAAGACTCATACCTGACGCAGATCGTCGCGTGCTGACATCCTCCAGGAAACGCAGGGAGGTTTCTGAACTTTCCGAACTGAGTCCAAGCTGGTCGGGATGAGTAATTACCGAGTGTGTAAGGAATCGTCCAAGTCGGCTTGGGCCCGTCCCTTAGTCAGAGGGGGGACTGGGCGAGGGAGGAGGGGGAGCGAGACGGTGGAGGGGGGGTGGGGAGGGAAGATTGGAGGGAGGCAGGGAGGAGGGACGGAGAGGAAGGGGGAGGGAGGGGAAGAAGGGGGAGGAGGGAAGAAGAGGAGGGAAGAAGAGGGAGCAGGAGGGAGGAGGGAAGAAGAGGGAGGAGGGAAGAAGAGAAAGGGGGGAGGGAGGGGGGGGGCGGGGGAGGGAGGAAACAGAAGGAGGAGCAGGGGGCAGCCGCGGCTCCCGAAGGGGAGGAGGACCATGGGGGTTCCGACAGGGTCGGGGGCCGGCCGAGGCAGGATCTCGGAAGCTGGGAAGAACCCCCGCCCCCCGACGTCGTGCTCTTTTCCCGCCGTCCACCCCCAGAGGTCTGGACCCCTTCCCCTGGGACCGGTTCTCCATCCTGAGTCGTGTTCTTGGGCGGTCCCGAGGGCAGGTGAGGGCTTTTCGAGGCCGACCGGTTCCGTCCTGAGTCGTGTTTGGGCGGTCCCGAGGGCAGGTATAAGGGCTTTCCGAGGCCGACCAAGTGGCGAGAAGCACCCCGAGGCCGACAACATGGCGAGCAGCCTCCCGACGCGACTTTGCTGCACGGCGCGAGGGGGGGTCCGGGAGGCAGGCGCAGGGCAGGGGAGGACGGGGAGAGAGCCGGCCCCCGCGGCTGGGAAACCCGAGGGCGAAGGGGCGGAGGGCGGAGGGCGAAGGGCGGCGGCCAGGGCGGCGGCGGCGGCAGCGGCGGCGCAGGGCGCGCAGGGCGCGGGTGAAAGGCAGCACGGGCGGGGGCAGGCACGCCCGGAGGCCTCGAGCCTGGATCTCGGCTCATATACCCCTCCTCGCTCAGTGCTCCTCCTCCTCCT